CCCCGGGTCTGGAGGAGGACGCAGTGCTGTGAAGCACAGGCCTGGCCAAGAGCAGCGGGGCCATGGCCTTGCTGCGACCTCACAGACCTCGGATGGGGTTTCCTTAAGAGAAGGCAAACACCAGTCACCCTGGGCTACGGGCAACCAGCCTTCGTGCTCAAGGCAGCCAAGGTGAGGGACTGGGCTGCTCCCTGGCTCCCACCCTGTGGGACATGGCTGCCAACATGGCGCGGGGGCCGGGCACAGCAGCAGGTCAGGCTCCACAGGGAAGTATCAGGGAGTGTAGGGACAGGACGAGGGGGAACGGTTTTAAACTGAAAGAAGGGAGATTTAGATTAGATAGCAGGAAGAAGTTCTTTCCTGTGCGGGTGGTGATCCCCTGGGGCAGGTTGCCCCGAGAAGCTGTGGCTGCCCCATCCCTGGAGGTGTCCAAGGCCAGGTTGGACGGGGCTTGGAGCAACCTGGGCTGGGGGGAGGTGGCCCTGCCCGGGGCGGGGGGGGCACTAGGGGGGCTTTAAGGTCCCTTCCAACCCAAAGCATTCTATGATTCTATGACTCTAAGTAACACCATCCACTATCCGGGCACTACCAGAGCCTTGGGTCTGGTCACGGACACCTTCTGCTAACAACAGAGGCCTGCGGTCCAAAAAGCACGACGAGCAGAGGTGAGCCAGTGTCTGGTGCTGTGAAACCAGGTAAGAATAACTCACCAAGTGCCCAGCTGCAGCGCAGACACCTTGGCAGCACGGGCAGCATGCACAGCAGCTCCCTGTCCGTGACACACAAGTAGAAGCTACAAAGGGGCATGAGAAGATGCTGAGTGGGCATTTTTCTCCTGGCACTACTCTAAACCAAGTGTCTTACAAACATGACTTCTACAGGTTGCTAGTCTGCCTGTTGTTTTCCCAGAAACCTTATTTTACTAGTCAGTAATGACAGGGTCTTAATAAAGTATTTTCTTTGCAAAAAAAGTATAAGAACAGAATAATAAAAACATAAAATGACCATACTAGCTTTTCCAGCCCAAACCAAGGTTTTAAAAAAGAAAATCCAATTGCTTCCAGTTTTATATGCATTCACAAATTACCTGAATTGTTTGTACATTTTTTCCAGTAATTACCCTCCATGCTTTGCAGAACAGCGTCACATGCCAGAAGACAGAAAGTTTCACAACAGAAAATGTCAACAGCCACAACCTCCTGCCATGCCCGGGATTAGCACAAGCGGCGTTACCACAGTGCTGCTGCCGAGGGCACCTCTTGGACTCTTGTTCTGTGCTAACGATAACGAGCCCTCGTGCAGCTGCCTGTGAGCTCACAGCACAATGCATTTTACAGCAGCGACGTGCAGTATGACCAGTCAGATGCCTGCTCTTAGAAACTACTTTAACAGATGTAAGGCTGCACTGCCTTGAAAGGGCCTCAAGCTTTCAGATATTTAACTGTAGCTCAAGTGTCATTGTGGTCCTAGGATTCAGGAATTGCAAACATTAGCGAAAAATTAAGTTACACCCTTCAGGAAAGAACAGTGGATGAAAAACTGATGGAAACTTCTCAGTTCCACCTTAAGGAAATTCAAGGAAAGCAATAAAATTCAGTCCTCCCGAATGGAGAGAACTGGGTACAGGGCAAGTCTCCGAAATAATGAGTCGCTTTATAAGTGATGTACCAAAACAGCAGACATGCTGGTCTGATCGGGAATATAAATGTGACATTTGGAACATGGGAAGTTTTGTTCTGCTTTTCTAGTTTTGAGCAACTGCAGTTGTTACCCAACTACCCTGTCACCTCTGTGTCGGCAGCTCACCTTAGACACACGCAAGGCAGAGAACCACGGGTGGAAAGCCAGCTGAAGGAAGCCCGTGAAATGGCGCTATGCATTAAATGTATCTACATACCCATACAGACACGCAGAAGTTTGGCTGAAGAGTACAGAGGAAAGGAAGACTCTGGTCTAATCCAGGACATCCCATCATTTTCTTCTTATCCTTCTTAACATGTTCTTCTTTCCCCCAGTTTACAGACCTGCTCCACCCCTTCTGCTCAGCACCTATAGCTCAGACACCCACTGTGCCTGCAATAACCCAGGTCTCCTCTGCAGCAAGTGCTGCTTTTCCTTCTCGAGGCCCTGCCCTACAGCCTTTCACCCAGCATCTCATGGCCAGGTGTCACCACTAGCACCACATCTGCAGTGCTCCTGCTGATGAGAACAGGCAGCGTTTTCCTTAGGCTGACGTGTGATGGGCAAACATCCTCCCGTTTTGACTTCCAGGTCTGGACTTTAAGCTCCTCCTGGCCACACGATTTCCTACTCCACATGGACTGACTGGCACAGCCAATCTGCCTGATCTGAAGCATCAGGTGGTTCTTCACCCTGCCCCTTCTCCTCCCTAGAAGCCACCAGATGTGGCCCACCAGCCCACCTGGAGCTCACAACAGCAAAGACAGCTGTCACCAACGATGACGACGCCTGGTTTGCTAAAGCTGTCCCAAACTGCACATACAAACACAGCGAAGACACTTCAGAAGAAGGATGAAGCTTTGCTGCTCCTTTAAATAGAGCACCGTTCATACAGGAGTGATGGATTTTGACTGTGATTCTTTCACTGGTGAGGACAGCGTATTCTGGGCATCGGGTTTATTTATACTCCAGATCTAGCTAATAGGAATTTGGGTCCAATCCAAACGCTCTTGATATAATAAAGTCTTTAGCCAGAGTTAAGCAGCATTTGAAGGGGCAAGATCAAGGATGAAGCTTAAATGCTGCTGCTGCTGCAGTTAGACATTTTTACTTGCTCGAGTGGCCGGTTGTCCAGACACCTTGAGCACACAGGATGAACATGCCACACTAATTATTTACTCCAGCCAGGCTTGCTGGGATGGAATAACAGCTCGAGCAAAGCAAGTCCTTCATCACACTCAAGCAAGTGGTGAAGTCGTATGACAGAGGGTACAAAAAAAAAATAATCCTTTTTTTCCCCTCCTGAGGATTACATGAGTGCTGACCATCACAGTCCCACTGCATTAAAACAGCTCAGAGAAGAGCAGACAGTCTACAGCAGGAGCGGTAGCGGCTTGTGTGCACACTGTTCCTTCTAGCACAAAAAAAAAGAGTAGAAAAATTTTGGGGACAACCTAATGAACCACAGTGTATAAAGCAAGACCTTTGACAACAAGACTCTTCCTAATGATTAGTTATGGTTTTCAGACCCCTTGTTTAATAGTATCACAGATGAAGTCTTGTCTAGATAGTAATGACTGGAAAGTTGTGAAACGATTCTAGATCTTATTCGAGTTGCTGGAGTTTTCCCAACAACTTCACTGAGGGCAGTGCAGCAGGCAGCATCAACTGAAATTACAGATGGTATTTCTATTCCCAGTCACACCACATCCTGCATTTTTAGGTACCGAATTTTCATCCTGGGCAAAGTTTTGACTGTTTGATGAGAAAGGGAGTCCCATCCCCCTCCTCGCCTGCAATGAGTAAAAGCAAAACGTGGAGGCATTACAGAGCATCAGCTCCCACGTTTATGTTCCCACCTTACGTCCTCAAACAAAGAGCTTGCAGGTGAAGCCCAGAAGAATTTAATTTGATGATCCAGGTCATTCCTCAGCAACACACCAACTTTTCAAACACAAGCCAAACAACAAGTGCTGTGAAAAACACTGAAATACCATTCCCCAGTTAAAGACAATTTTTGGTACAATCATTTTGCAGAGCCATAAAGTGCCTTCATAAGACATCTGTACCAGAGGGGTCAGAGAAACTAAAGGGCCTCCTCCAAGGGCCCTGAACCGTTACGGGTAACTGCCGGGCATCAGTACCTAGATATGATAAATATCATCTTAATTGCAAGAAGAGTTTTAGTTCTTTGAATGAAGAGATCTTTTTTTTGAAACTTAAAGCCTAGGAGCCGTTAGCCCTCCAGCACACAGGATTAGTTTTGACGCAAATGAAGTATCCTCAATACTCGCCACACCCTAGCTACAAACGGCACTAATGCGAAACTACAATTTTATTAGCTCTTTGAGCAAGCGCTGCTTGGTTCATCACGATGTCAACTGCTTTGTGCTCTCCTCTGGGAGTACGGGCTCCAGTTCCCATGGTTCCCCCTAGGGTTTGGAACTAAAGGCTCTTATCGCCTCTGAAATTACCACCAACCACCAACTAACAGCCAGGCATTTAAGTTTAAAAATTGTCAATGTCAGTTTTTAAAGAAAAACAAATGCAAACAAACAGTGGAATGTAGATAAAAACACAAGGCGGTTTTTCATGGGATGCATTAGTCTAGCAAGCACTCACCTGATACTGGAGGCAAAGTTATGTCTCAAACTGTGTTAAGAGATCTCTTATTTCTGGAGTCAGATGCTCTACTGCCTTCGCAGCTTCTGTGATAGCTTTCCGATACATCCCTTTCTTCTTGCGATTAAATCTCAGTTTGAAAAATTCAGAGAAAGGAGAGAGTTTTGAAACAGATAAGAATGAAGTCGTTGGAGAACCAAACCATGACACCTTAGCTTCTCGCCACGAAGGTTCCCCATTTTCCTTCTGGCTAAGGTTTATGTCAAGAACACGTGCTGGCCACCAGGGAAAACCATGAATTTTACCCCAAACAATATCCCCCACTGAAACAGTTCTTCCATCTTCTGTGACACATTTAGACACACTTTGGGTATGCAGTCTAACTGTAAGTGGCGGCACAATTTTACGCTCATCTTTTGAAGATGAAGAGACGGATGCATCATCACCAGGTAAAAAGTCACACATTTCTGGTGATGTTACTTCTGAACTAGAAGACTTGGATTCATCTAGACTGTCATTACTACACACCGATAAACTAGAAGAATCTGCTTTTCTTTTACGATAATTCATAAGGAAAGCCAAGTTATCATGTCCATCTTTACCTTGGGGAAATCTTTTAAAGTCATCATCTTCACCTGAACTCCCTGAAGATATCTCAGCTAAACTTCTGTCTGTGGATTCATCATTGTAAAATGCGCCAGGATTGGACTCCCTGCTGTTCTGAAGGACATTAATTTCGTCAATAAGTTCTGCCTTATAAATTGAAACACTCTGACCATCATTTATGCGATGGGGCTTCAGCCGTATCTTTGGGGGTGGGACATCCGCACTGGAATGCACCGGCCGCGTGAGCTTCAGTTTTGGAATGGAAGCAAGCTGGCTGCCTGCTGACTTGTCCATTAAACATTTGGTTTCTCGACACCGTTCAGAGACTCTGGTCTCCTCTTGGTCCTCCTCTCCGTTCTGCAATATTCGCTCTGGACAAAAGGGTTTGACTGAGCCATGAACCCGGGAAGGGATTTTTACAACTTCACCTTTCCCTTGCGGAGTACTGTAGGATATTTTTATAACTGGCGTTCGATGTACTAGTTCCCCAGAAAATTTCTCATCCTCTCTCTTTTCTCTTTTGTTCCTCTTCTCCGTGTAGTCGGAGTCACTGTGCTTCTTCTGCTCTTTGTCCTGAATGCTCAGCTTCCTCCTGGTTTTAGCATTCTGCCTAGCTGTGCTCGCATCCTCCGGGTTCAGAGTGTTTTTACATTTCTCACAGAGCACCTGTCGTGGCCGCAGCCTGATAGTGCTCATGATAAGCCTTCCCGGGTCTCTATTCCGCGACAAACGCCTCCTCGTCCTCTTTATAGTCCGTGGTGGTGGCTGAGGAACCCACTGGTTGTACGTGTGCCGTAGCCAGAGCGGACGAGGAAAAGGAGCTCCCTCGAAGTAGGGGGAGTAAGGAGGAAGGCTGCCAGGCGGCGGGGGAGGCAGGAGGGGGGGTACTTGCTCATCCCCGCTTCCTTTGGGAGGCTTTTCACCAGCGGGCTGCGGCTCCGTCTCGCCCTGCACAGCACCTCCACCTTCAACACCTCCACCATCAGCAACTCCGTTAGCGCAAGCGTTAGCAGGAGGGTCCTCGTGCTTGGGGAAGGAGGATGGGAGACAAAACAATCCGGACCTAAAACAGGGCGAGAAGGGCAGGGAAGGAGAGAGACAAAGAGTCAGGATGCTTGAAAGGCGCTTCTCTGGGAAGACTGTGCATTACAAACATGCTAGTTTCTTTAAAAAAAAACCACCACCAAAACAAAACACACATCCCCCAAAAGCCCTCCCACAACTTCCACGTACTAAGAACACATTTCCCCTTGACTTTTGAGACAAGGCAGCCAATTCTGCCCCTGAAAAAAATAACAGCGTTTCAAAATTTAGTAAAGGTGTCCTACACTTCTGCCAGAAAAGGCAGAGAGATCAAAATCTCTGCTTCCATTAACTCTTTGCACAAAGTTTTGCTCTAAGAAGTTTTAAGTTTTATCACACAAAGCAGTTTATTTTATCAGCAGGCTGGTAAAGGCACGAGGAGGGCTGTGATACAGATTACGCAAGCCTTCTGGGAGCTATTAAACTTCCTTTCTTCACACTGTACTTGCCTGCCTGATTTTTCAGCTTCTCATTCAAAAGCTGAACAACCCGACTTGGACGGATAACTCGCAGTTTCAAGCAACAGGTTCACCAGGACACAGCTCTGCTCCTCTGCCTCTGGCCCTTCCACGTATGACTTTATTTGTTAAAATAAGGAATACACTACTATTTCAGAATAGCAAGATTCAGAAATATGATATACTATTGTCCAACACCAAGTCTATTACAGGCTACCAAAGTCTGGATACAATATCCTGCACAGATATTGGCAAATGCAAATCCTCTGTAACACACAACTCTGATTCAGGTCTCTGGGTTTCTGCACCAGAATTTATGCCCTTGGCCTGACATTAGAAACATTATGCTAACACAGCACTTGGACAAATATTTGTCCTGAAACACCGACTCAGAACCGGCAGTGCTCGCTATTGTGGCTTTCCAGGGAGAAATCTGTAGGGAGTACACCACCAGTGAAGGGTATCAGCTTTTTAATAACAACAAAATGGTGTATGGGTGAGCCACGAAGAAGCCAGAGAGAGGTGGAGAACAGTTAGAGACCAAACACTACTTTCAGTTTAGGATGCTGCATTTCCCATTGCCCTCCTCGCTAGCCACTGTCTTCCTTCCAACCACCAGCAAGGGAGAAGTTTCGGGGTGGTGTTACAGAGAGAAGGACATTGGCAACTGTTACGGAGAAGAGCACGGAAGATCAGTTGAAGGCCTGCACTCAGTCACACATTCCCTTATCAAGAGAAGCACAAAGTCACTGCCACAGGTTCGCCAGCTCTGTCCCCAAGCCGCACCGCTTTGCTGTGGGAAGGATCCTAAAAACGTCAGTTCCCCTCGCCAGGCACAGCGAGGAGTCTCTCCTTCCCACAGGAGCATCAGCAGAAAGCAGCATTACCAGAGGTCATGAACCATCTGCAATCAGAGACAAAAAAAGAGCAGGGTTTTTCAAGCAGATCACCGGAGAATGGGGACCATGGATCCCATTTCATATGGCCCTAATCATTCTCCTTTTCTCCCACAGACTGTATCTCTTTCACCTGATTTCCATGAAGACTCCCACAAAGTTTAAAAATAAAGCTTGCATAAACTAAGCATGCAGGAATCAGTCTGATTCTGGTACCAAGTCACCGCCCTTCTCTAACTGAAATAAAAAGAATCCCTGAGTTATCAGGACTCTGAAAAGGCCTTTCCCATTATCCAGAGTACGAGTGCAAGAACTTGCTGTTTAGATAACAGTTTAGCTTAACTGGAAGCTCCAAGCTTGAACGCTAGTGAGTCAAGAGGATTACACTGTTGAAACCGCATAATTTGGAACAAAATGTTTTTGTTCTGAGGGTTTTTTTAAACAGAGACAACTAAGAATGTAGGTGTCTTTCAAACGACAACTGAGAAAGCAAGTACAGTTTGTACAGCCAAAGATGTCAGCACCATCCATAAAACAACTGAAAGTGATATCATTTCCGAAGCTCTGGCTATAAATTTTGGTTACTTTATACAATGAGATTGTCTAATTTGGTCACACCAGAAAACTGTATAAGTTTTCTGTTTGTCGCATGGACACAAGCCCAGCTCCCTGTGCTCCCGCACCGTCTGCTCTCCACGGCCGGCTCCGAGCAGGCAGCTGCGTCAAATCCACTTCCTTCCCGAGGACGCGCCGTGGCACGAAGCTTCTCGCTTGGCAGAAGCAAAGCACTCAAAGGTTAACTTCGTGGGATGACTTACGCTTGCAAAGTTAACGTATCAGCATGTCGTAGCCCTGCCAGGGTTGAAACGGCCCACCCTGCCACCGGGCCGCAGTCCCCAGGCTCTCAGCTGCCCTCCCCGGGGAGCGCCATTGTGCCTGAGCACGGGTACCCGTGCCCCGCGGCCATCGCACCGCCCTGGGCGAAGGCTAACCTGGACCGCAGCGGGACCGGGGGCAGCCGGGGCCCTCGGCAGCCCTCCTGCTCCACCGGGCGAAGGGACACAGGCTGCGGGGACACCAGGGTGCACACCGGCACCGTGCCAGCAGCTCGTGACACGCACATCAGAGAAACGCAGTGGCTGTTAAGCCGTTTTAACCAGAAGCCTTTTAAGGCCGAGGTCCTGCTGTTTTAGATGGTACAAAAATGCAAGGACAAATGTCCGAACGATCAGAAGGAGGCCCCTGCGGCAGGGACTCCTCACCCAGACTCCATCATCAGGCCCCGCTTCAGCAGCTCTTCAGCGCAGGCGCAGCAGCATCAGCGCTCCGAGAGAAAAAAC